CATAACCCCCAAAACATGCTATTGCTTGTACAAGTGCACCACCATGCTCAGGCAGCAAGAAGTCACAGAAACTCTAGTTGGAGGGGGGGGGGTTAAATCCTTGCCTCCAAGGAGCAGCCTGGTTTCACTCTCTCCAGAACAGACTTGATTGTTCTCTTGGTGGTCTATGGTATGCACAATACTCTTCTTTAGCACCACAACTCAAAGATATTGATTCTTCCTCTGTCATCCCTAGTCATTGTTCATCTCTCTGATGTATAGCAAGTAATTGTGAAGACTGTGATCTGTACAAGGCACACCTTAGTCTTTAGACTGACATTATTGCTCTTCAGCACTTTGGGGAGGCCCTGACAGCAGACTTCCCCCATGTAATCAGTTTTTTGATTTCCTTAGTGCTGGTGCCAAGAGTATTGATTGTGTAAGTGAGCAAGATGAAATTGTTAACATCTTTAATCTCTTCTCTATCCATCATGGTTCTGCCACTTGGCCCAGTGGTGAGAATCTTTGTCTTCTTGATGTTAGGCTTCAAACCATATTGAAGACTACAATGTTAGACCACCTAAATTTTGGCAACAAGATAGTATCATTGCATAATGCAGGTTTTTGATGAATCTTCCTCTAATTCTGATGCTACGTTCCTCCTCATAAATTCAGCCTCCTGAGTGATCTGTTCAGCATGTAGATTTAAAAGGTATGAAGCCAAAATGCATCCCTGACAGGATCCTTCCTGATTTTGAACCATGCGGTGTTCCCTTACACTGTTCAGAGGACTGTTTCCCGGTCTAAGTATAGGTTTCTCATGAGCATAGTCAAGTGTTGTGGGATTCCCATTCTCCTCAAGTTCAACCACAATTTGTTCTGATCCACATACTCAAATGTGTTGCATAGTCAATGAAACACTGATAGACGTTCCTCTGATACTCTCTGCTTTCAATTCAGATACATCTGACATTGGTGATAATGCCTTTGGTGCCACGGCCTCTTAATCCAGGCTGTATTTCTAGTAGTTCTCTGTCAGTGTACTGTTCCAGTTGTTTTTTAATAATCTTCAGCAGGTTTTTGCTTGTGTGTAGTATCAGTGATAATGTTTGATAATTTCTATACTCTTGTCAACCCACCCTTTTTTGGAATGGGAACAAACACAGATATCTTCCAGAAAGCTGGCCAGGCATTTGTCCTCCATATGTCTTGGCACAACCAGGTGAGCATATCCAGGGCAGAATCTGTTGAAAGTTTTCAATTTTTATTGCATCAATTCCAGGCACCTTGTTTTTGCCAGTTCCTTCAGAGCATCTTGAACTTTCTCCTTCATCACCATTGTCTCTTGATCATATGTTGTTTCATGAAATTCTCCTGCGTCAGCCAGTTCTTTTTGATTTAGTGACTCTGTGTGCTCCTTCCGTTTTCTTTTACTTATGTGACTGCTTCTTCGATATGCTGCCTATAGCATCCTTTACTATTGCAACTCAAGTCTGGAATTTATTCTTCAGTTCCATCAGCTTTAGAAATGCCAGGTGAGTTCGGTGCTTTTGGTTTCTGGCTCTAGGTCTTTGCATATTTTATTATAATACTTTGCGTTATCTTCCTAAGTTGCCCTTTGAAATCTTCTGTTTAACTCTTTAACTTCTTGATTCCTTCTCTTTGATTTGACTTCTTGGCACTCCAGAGCAATCAGTAGTCAAGAGTCTCTACTGACATTCATCTCAGTCTTTTCTTCCTCCTGTCTTTGCAATGATTTTGTGCATTCATCCTGAATGATATTCTTGATATCCTCCCACAACTCATGTGGTCTTCATTCATTAGTGTTCATGTCTCAAATATGTTCCTGAGATGATTTTTAAATTCAAGTGTGATAGACTCAAGGTCAAATTTTGGTTCTTGTGGATGTTATTTGATTATTTTTAACTATAGTTTCAACTTGCATATAAGTAGTTTATGATCTGTTCCACAGTCAGCACCTGGCCTAGTTTGCACAGCTGATACTGAGCTTCTCCAGTGATTTTTTCCACAGATGTAATCTATCTGATTCCTTTGTAGACTGTCAGGGGAAGTCCATGTGTACAGTTGTCATTTATGTTTCTTATGAAAGGTATTTACGATGAATAAATCATTGATTGTGTAAAATTCTATCATTCTGTCTGTCACCAAGTCTGCTTTTTGACTGTTGATTCATTTTCCTTGTTCCCAACTTTTGCACACTAGTTACCTATTATTATTAATGCATCTTGGTTGCATGTTCAAATACAGAAGTTGGTAAAAGTCATCTAGGTCCTCCTTTTTGGCTCTGGTTGTTGGCACATTTATTTGAATGATAGTGGGTTTAGTAAGTCTTGCTTGTATGCATATGGCTAGTAGCCTATTGCTCACAACATTGTATTTCAAGATAGATCTAGAAATGGTTTTTTTAACTATGAATGTGACCTTGTTTTTTGCCACATTTTCATCTCTAGTGTAGTAGATCATACGATTTTTTGACTCATAATGTCTGTGTCAATACATCTCATTTTTCCAATGTCTAGTGTGTCAATATTTAAATTAAAATCATAAATATGAAATTATTTCATGGAAATAATTTTTCTACCTGTCTTCACATACAATGTTTCTTTCTCCAGCTGTGCTAAGCTGAATGCTCAACCTGACATTTAAGGAATTTTTATATTTCTATTTGCATCTTTGGTAAAGTTTCTGTAACTCTGTTGACATTACTATTTGCAAGCATACACACACATATTTTTATAAAATTATGTTTGAAATAATTGAATATAGTTTTTTCAAATTCTTTTGTGATGTTTCTAACACCTAGGTCTGATTCTTTTCATTGTTTTCTCTCTTTTCATGAGTTGTTTTTGTACATTTTAAATTTTATTATCAAATGACAGGCATAACGGGACTTTAAAGAGAAGACTGAGAGAGATATTTACACCTGGAATTAAGGCTGCCTTTTAGTCAGCCCTACTGAATTGGAGTCAGCCTATAAAAAGAAGCTGTATTTGGAGGGTTTTTAAAAATAAAGTTATTTTAGTGCACTACAGATTTTAAAAGACGCTTGGAAGGAGGAGTGGCATCCATTTCCATAATAGCTTGCCTCCAGAAACCCTAAGAACCTGGAGAGAGGATGAGAGACACCCAGGCGTCGAGGACTCTCCTTCATAGGGTTGCTATGAGTCGCCTACGACTCGACGGCACTTAACAACAAGTGGGCTGCTGATACTTTGTACTTATACTTATTGATGATATTTGAAGATATTAAGATTGAGGTCTGGTTCTTATTTCTCCTTTGATGTTAAATAGGTGGAACCTGATTGATAAGGAAGTATTAGTGTTCCTGAATACTCTAAATTTAGACTATTCATGCATACTTGCATTGTAGAGGAAATAGGATTTTCTGTTCTCTTTTGCCCAGGTAATGCCTGCCTAGTCTCTGTGCTTGGTCTTGTATGTGTATGTGTGTGGTTAGTCTTAACCCTGGAGATTTTTTCCCCTTTTCCCAAGTAGTAGCAGAGTTCTGCTTAACATGAAAGTAGGATATTGGTTGCAAGAAGGCTTTATGCCCTTTCCCCAGAATTGAAGATTTTCTAAAACTTATAATTGGAACTCTGGTGGCCTGATAGAGACTTATGCTGCCAATACAAAAGCAGTCTGTTCTAATCCACCAACTGCCCCCTTAGGAGGAAGATGGGCAGTCTCCTCTTGTGTCTGTTTACTGCCTTTGAAAGCTCAGTGAAGGTCAGCTCTAACTTGGTTCTGACTCAGCGGCACTGAGGGAGTGGAATCTGCTTGTAACAGTGATCTTTGCCTAAGTCCAAAGAGCCAGAATGATAGCTGCCCCTCCCTTAGAGCCAAATAGATTTGCTTCTTCTCCTCCAGAAGCAGTGGATATTTTTCTTTATCATTTAGGCAGGGGAAATTTGCTGCTTTCTCCTCAAGTGGCTTTATGATTTTGCTTTTTAAGAGCAAAGGGTCCAGGCAAATGGCTTTCCTAGTACCTATAAATCTTTTAATTTACACATGAAATCCTCACTCTGATTTCCTACCTCCAGACCTTCTCATAGCATCTAGTAGATGCCCATAGAAAAGAGCTTTACTCTAAGTTCAGTCTCTCTTTGTATTTTCTATAAGTGCATCCTCCATTTGTATTTTAAACTGCACAACTATTACATATGTAACCATTTGCTACACTAGATCTTTAACAATTTATTAAAATGTAACTGACCTTTTCTTGTTAACTTATATGATGGTCATAAATTTTTGTTTTTCTCAAACAGTAAATGTTGTATATAATCATACCCCTTCTGGAAATCACTTCTCTGTTGTAGTTTAGAATACTGCAATTTAGTTGCACTCTGATTTTATAGATTGTCTAGATTTGTTTCTTGTTAAAAGAAGTATAAGTAAATCCAAAGTCTCTGTAAATATTCATTGAAATTAATAATAAAGTTTTCAAAAAAGGATGAGTAAAAATTTTGCAGCTTTTATATATATATATGTGTGTGTATATACACACACACATACATACATACATACATACATACATACATACACACACACACACACATCAATTCAACTCTTTGCTATCAATTTGGAATGACTCCTGCTGGGTGGCCCTCCAGTGGGTTTTTGAAGGTTTAATTGCATGGGAGGAGATTGCCCAGCTCTCTCCTATGAAGTTGCTGCTGGATTCAAACTGCCATAGAAGAGTAGCCTTTGAATTTGCACCATAACTCTTTACAGACTATATACACCACCTGAGCTCCCAAAATACATGATAGTATATTTAAAAAACTCCTTAGGTGATTCTAATGAACATAGCATTGGAACTTCTCAACAAGATTTCTTATGAAGTAAATACATTTATACAACTCTTGTTAGCATAAATTAGTGTTGTTGGAATTATAAACCAAATCCTATAATAACTCCAATCAAGGTGAAAGTATGTTGACAACCAAAAAGAGGCCAGATGACCACATGTTTCTCTTAGTGTGTCTGTTTTATGTTGACAGAATCGCATTGCAAAGCGGAGCAGGAAGCTGGTCGATTATGACAGTGCTCGGCACCATTTGGAGGCTTTGCAGAGCTCCAAAAGGAAGGATGAGGGTCGAATCTCTAAGGTAAGGGTGTATGTATGTAGTTTTATGCCACTGTTGGCACCTGCTGTTTGTTTTATTACACATAGTAACTTTGATTTTTAAAATTAAATATTTCCCTTTTTGTACGTTGATATGTGGTGTTTCTGGATTACTTTTCACAAGATTTTAAATAAGATTTTTATTGGTGTTTTATTTTAGGAAATTATTTTAGTGGCACTTACTATGTATACTAGTAACTTAAAGGTGCTGCCTAACTCAAGGTACCTACCAACTAGCCCCCCTGATCTTGTCGCCTCCTGTGTAACTTATAGCCTTTGAAAACCTGCTGGAGGGTCAGCTGTGGGTCGATTCCGACTCAGTGGCAAACAATAACAGCATATGCTTACACACGGGAGCTCTGGTGGCTTTAGTGGTAAAGAGGTAAACTCCCAACCCTGAAGCATGTGATTCAAATCCTCCAGGAGAAAGATGGGCAGTCACTTCCCATGTGATTTATTGTCCCTGAAAATCCTCTGAGGGTCAGCTGCGAGTCAGTTCTGACTTAATGGTACACAATAGTAACCACATATGTTTAAAAAAAGAGTTTTGGTGGTTCCTTAGGTACTGTCTAATGGATTAGCTGTGGACTGAAGTTTTCCAGCCTCCCCATGGGAGAAAGACAGTCAGTATCCTGTACTGATTTACAGCCTCAGAGACATAGTGAAGGGCCTTTATGCCTCTAAACCGACTGGTTTACACACATGTGGTCTCTCTCTATCACATATTTGAGCATATTTTCTTACTGTTTAAAGAATTGAGTTGAATCATTCAATGGCTCTCATTGCCTATTAAAGGCTGACTTTGTTAGGCTAGCATGTTGGACTTTCACAATTTATTTATAGTTCATTTGTATCCGCTTTCAGACCCTTTCTGCCTTTTCTTTCCTTTCCCTGTATCCATTTCCCAAGCTCCAGCCTCCGTGACAATACATAACAACAGCTCGCATTCACTGCAGGTCTCATGCCCAGGCACCATGTTCGACATGTCATCTGCATTAGACCTGATAAGAAACCAATTGTTCTTGAGTCAATTTGGACCCATAATACCACTATGGGAGAGAACTGAATTTTTTCCACAGGGTTTCTGGCTTTAAATATTACAGAAATAGACCACCATATCTTTCTCCTGGAGAAGCTTTTGGTTAGCACCTGAACCTGTGAGGCAGTCCAGACTATCTCAGTTTTATGGATGAAGAGTCTGAGATAAATAATAAATAAAAAAATAAAAAACAAACAAAAAACAAAACAACCTGCATTATGCAGATAGCACAAGCTTGTTACAAAAGGAGAAGAGAGTCTGAAGCATTTACTGCAAATGATCAAAAGCCTTCAGTATGGATTACCTCTCATTATCAAGAAAACAGAACTCCTTATCATGGCACCAACAGATGGCTTCCTGAGAGATGGAGAAAAGATAGTTCTCAAGGATTTCATTTTACTTCATTCTACAATCAACATCTATGGTAGTATCCATTGAGAAATCAAAAGGTGGGTTTCCCTGGGGAAATCTACTGTCAAGAACCTCTCCAAAGTACTAAAGAGCAAGGATGTCAGTATAACGACTAAGGTGCACAGGCTCCAAGCCATGGTAGCTTCAGTTGCAGCCTATGCATCTGAAAGCTGGACAACAAATGAAAAGGACAGAAGAATTGATACCTTTGAACTGTGAAGTTGGAGAAGAGTACTAAAAAGCCCGTGAACTGCCGGAAGAACAAAGAGGTCTATCTTGCAGAAAGTACAAGCAAGATGCTGCTTGAAACAAGACTGGGGGAACATACTTTGGGAAAGTTGTCAGTAGGGGTCAGTCCTTGGAAAAACATCCTGTGCTGGGAAAGATGGAAAGACAGAAGAGGAAAACCTTCCATAAGAAGGATTGACAGTGACGTAAGTAATGGACTCGGCATGTTGGAGACAGAGCTGATGGGGAGGACAGGGCAGAGTTCACATCTGCTTCTCACAGAGTCAGTGGCATCTAACAACAACAGGTGACCAAGACTCTGAATACAAATCCCAATGTGAATATATTTTATGCAAGACAATACAATTGAAATATAACCATGAAATTATGGACTGATTCTCTCTCATGTGTAAATACTTAAGCTTGAATAAATATTAATGCTAATAAAAAGAAAAGTGTTACATATAATCTTAACACATTTATTTTAATAAATCCTTACATAAAAATGTAAAAAAAAAGAGTCTGAGATAAATCACAGTGAAACAGTCTGACAAGATCACATAGCTAATACACAAGAATTCCAATCCAAATCAATTTTTTAATGCTTTCATCACCACAGTCTTTATTGTATACTTGCTTTAATATTCAGTTAAAATATTTTATTTTCTGAAGAACCAACTGTGTTCTCTGTACCATTTTGCCCAACAGACTCTTACTTGAGTCCCTCAGTCATAGAAGTTAATATAATGGTATCACCGAGTAATATAATTATTGAGACTTATTTTCTAGGCTGGGAAGTCATACTCAGTGTTCACAGAGTTAATGCTTTTTATTGTAAAATGAATGAGGAAACTGTGTTGTTGTGTTGTTATGTGCCATCGAGTCGCCTGCGACTCATAGCGACCCTATGTACAACAGCCCTAAACTCCGCTCTGTCCTGTGCCAATCGCACTGTCTCTGACACTCCCTTCCCAATTATCCCAGTCACTGAATCAATCCACCTCATAGAGGGCCTTCCCCTCCTGTGCCTGCCCTCCACCCTCCCAAGCATGATGTCCTTCTCCAAGGACCGATCTATCCTCACAACATGTCCAAAGTATGTTAGACGGAGCCTCAGAATCCTTGCCTCCAAGGAGCCACCTGGTTTAACCCTCTCCAGGACAAATCTGTTTGTTTTCCTAACAGTCCATGGTATTCTCAATACTCTTCTCCAGCACCACAGCTCAAAGGCATCAATTCTCCTTCTATCCTCCTTGGTCATTGTCCAACTCTCTGATGCATAACAGGTGATTGCTAAGACCATGGCCTGTATCAGACGCACCTTAGTCTCCAGAGAGACACCACTGCTATTCAGCACTTTGGAGAGGTCCCTAACAGACTTTCCCATGGCAATGCGCCTTTTAATTTCCTGGCAGCTGGTGCCAAGACTGTTGACTATGGAGCCAAGCAAACTAAAGCTGTGTACAATCTCAATCTCTTCACCATCCATCCTGATGCTGCCAATTGGTCCAGTGGTGAGAATCTTTGTCTTCTTGACATTGAGCCTCAATCCATATTGTAGGCTTCAGTCCTTGACACTCTGCAGCAGGCGCTTCAGGTCCTCCTCAGTTTCAGCAAGCAGGGTTGTGTCATCTGCATAACGCAGATTGTTGATAAATGGTCCACCAATCTTGACCCCACATTTCTCCTCATAGAGCCCAGCCTCCCGGATAATCTGTTCTGCATATAGGTTGAAAAGGTATGGAGATAGGATCTAACTTAAAATTAAAACATGAAGCATTAAAAAATTAAACATTAAAATTCATCAAGTTTTCCCAATTCCATGTATGAACCTGGAAATTTCAATTGTTTTAATTGAAAAATTAATATGGATTTTAATAAAATTTTCTCATTATTAAAATATTCCCAGGCAATTATAAAGAAATGCTAATTTTTATGTTAAAGAATACTGTTATATATAGAATTTACTCTTGTTATTATGTGATTCATTTTTTTTGTAGAAACAAATGTTATGTGTCATTTCTAGGCTGAAGAGGAATTTCAGAAAGCACAGAAAGTGTTTGAAGAATTTAATGTTGATTTACAAGAAGAGTTACCATCATTATGGTCAAGGTAAAGATATTTCTGTATGGATTGTTTAAGTATGGATTGTTTACCTTTTAGAAGTTTAAGGAAAGTATGTCTTTTGTCTGTATTGTCTATAATTCAATATTGTCCAGTGAAACTACACTATATAATGTACTATAACTACACTTCCAATATGGTAGATACTAATCACATGTGAGGAAGCTCTGACGGCCTAGTGTTAGGAGTTACACTGCCAAACCAAAGGTGGATGGTTCAAATCTGCCAGCTGTTCTGCGGGAGAAAGATAGGCACTCAACGTCCATACAATTTACTGACTCTGACAGTCTGCTGGAGAGTCAGTTATGATCTCTTCTGACTTGGTAGTACTTAACAATAACAACTACATATGATGGAACTATGGTGGCCTAATGGTATGGAACTTTACTACCAAACTGAAGGATTATTTTTCAGATCACAACCATGTTTGACTGTTGAGCACTTAAAATGGGACTAGTTTGCTGAAGAATGAATTTTTTTTTGGTTGTAAAATGCACTAATCTTTTATGTAACTTTAAAAAAAAATCATTTCCGCTCCCGGAAGCACGAGCAAGGCCGCCAGATGTGCAGACCGCGGAGGAGGAAGAAGAGATGGATACTCCAGACTCGGCCTCGAAGGTCTTCTGCAGCCGCATCCTGAGCATGGTGAATGCAGATGACGTCAACGCCATCATCCTGGCCCAGAAGAACATGCTGGACCGCTTTGAGAAGACCAATGAGATGCTACTGAA